TTATTTTAAGTCTCACTAGCTGTAAGGGGTAGAGTTTTATGTTATTTTTTACATTTTTGTGGTGTATCTTGTGTTCAAAGTAAAGATTTAAGAAAGGCGATAACTCGCATTAATACGGACTCGTTATAAAAAAACTGCAGCGATTATGAAAGAGTCAGAATTCTCGAACCTAGCGCACGAAAGCTCCTGCAAACTGGGCTTCTTCTCATATCGCATCAGAAATGCTTAGCAGGGGGATGTGTAGCAATCTCCAGAGCCAATCAAAGCTCGCAAATTTGAAAGAGTTAGAATTCTTGAAGCTAATGCACGGCAATTCTTTTGCGCTAGTGGTAGAGAATTAGCTCCCATGAAACACCTACGATCGAATCTCAAGTTCATTATCGTCTTCAAGGGCATGCGAAAATTGTGCGAGGCGTCTTCAAGGGCATGCGAAATTGGTGTGTAGCACCAATGAGAGGAGAAGGAGCCTTCTCCTCTCATTGGTGCTACACTACCGAAGCTACCCAGGTCTCGCGCATCACGTGATCGCTACAGCACTATTAAAATCATAGGCTAACAGTTTAAAATAACAGGTACTTGCACATTTAATTTATGACATTAATTTGTAAAGTATCATTTAATTTCCTAACCTGTTATTTTATGTTAATATTCTTTTCTATCAGTCTCGTTTCTATTTCCCTGCCGGAATGTTAAGTTTCTAACTTGTGAGCTATTCAAATGAGGTAGAAAGTACAGAGTATTTAAAGGAAGGTTTTAGAGAATAAAATCAGAGCGTTTCCTGCCTGCTTGAAGGCCACGTTGCTAACTTTAATTTCTCTGGCAATTAGTATTATCCAGCATTGAGTTATTCTCGCCATTGGGCTTATTTACGCTGATTTCAGTCACAGCCAGTTTGCGCGCTAGTTATACTATGGAGGCCGATGGTCTACACTTAATTTCATTAGTTCATCCATTATTTTTGATTTAAGTTTGATTTGCTTACAGAAGCTACTGTACTTATCTTCTGTAAGCACAAGTTGGTGCCGACTTCATCTCTTAGTTTGGTAATGTTTCAAAAATATATTGTTCCAAGGACCATTTTCTTTCTCTGCATGCAATCAATTTCTTCCTCAATGAGTTTTCTCTTCATTTTAAACATTTCATATTTAATTAAGAATTCTTGTTATTCTAAAAGTCTTCATGCATTTAAAATGTATAGAAGGAACTGATAATTTAATTTCTTTAATAATATGAGTATTGTGAATAAATATAAAATGATTTCATTACAAACTCCCTGTTAAACACGTCTATTACGTGTTAAGACCATGAAGACATTTTTCATTTTGGCATATTTTTATAGAATCCTTTGGAATCATATGTGTGTAAATCTTGCCTTCAAATCCTTCGGAAGTGTAAGGTCAAAAAACCGAACAAAAAATTATCCCTACCATCTCAGTAACAGCAAAAAGCCAGAAGGCTATTGAAAACAAAATTCAGGTAAGAAAAACGTGAAATGAATTTTGCAGAGAAAACTGATATACATTTGGATATTCTGAAAGAATTACAGGGGGGAAACTCTTATGAAAAAATATAAGTGAAGACAAATGAAATAAATTTTAAAATAATTATAGTAGCTTTATTTTGCTTTGGCTAAGAAGCGTTTCGGAAGCTGCGTATTATAACATTTAATATCTGGTTTACTTTTCAGAATTAAAATCTTGCTAATTTACCAGAATGCAAAGTAATGTTATTTTAAAATTTGAGAAGGTAATATGGCAATATTTTATTTTAATATTATTTCTTAAATATAATTTTAATATATTATCATTATTTAATATAATTTAGTAATGTTTGTAAGAACAAGAAATCGTCAAAAAATTCGCAAATCTGCGAGTTAAAAATTTTGTACAAAAACACATCTTAAAAATGCCAAAATTTTGAAAAGTCACCAAATTTAGCACTGAACAACAAATAATGAACAACCTCTCAAAAAGTCTCATAAAGGGAAAAGTTGTTTTTAAGGTAATATATTGTAAAATCTTCATTCTCAAAAGAGAAATAATTTCGAAATGTATATCGAGGTAGGGCTTCGTTACTAGAAATTCCAGTTAGAGTTGGGTGATTCGCTCCGGAACGGATTCAAAGAACCGATTCACTTTACTGAGCGAATTTACTTCAATTCCAGGAAATGGAGTTATAGCTCTTTTATTCCAGCCCAGCAGAGCTCCTGCTGGAATTGTGCCAGGAAAGTTCGTTTCTCATTTTAGAGAAGAAAAGAATGACTATTTTCTTATATTAGAAGTGAATTTAATTTTTATTATTTCCAACCGTTTGGGGAAATTTTTACTATACAATTTTATTGTTAATCATGTGTAGAATGGAAGTTTTAGAAAATATCAAAACTACAGAGGAAAGAAATCAGTTTAAGGAGTTAGTGTTTGTGTCGATTTTTCCGATCCAACGGCTCTTTCAATTCTTTTCGCTCTTCTCTCCATCCTCGCTAACCGCTCTCTACTCACTCCTCGTTCCCAATCTTTTTCATAAAAGTTATTGTTAGTGAGCGGTGAGTCATCAAAAGGAGTCGATTCATTTCAAAGAGCGAACGGTTCTGATCCGACACAATAAAAGAGCGTTTCTGCCTTTCTCTAATTCGAGAATCGCATCGTTTATATTAGAAATAGAACGAATTAAAAAGATAATCCATCAAATACATATTTGTCCAAAATGGTTATTTTCACTCAAAAAGTCAGTCTTAAGAAAACTAACAGAAATGGCAGACCAGTCAAATTAAGGACCTTCACCGATTGGGCAGAAATTAGTCATTTTTAAGACCCAAAAATCGTTTCGAGAAACCTAAGGACTTTTAAACCATAAGAACACTGGTTTAAGTGTAATATATCATACATGTCACTAATTATGATCAACATATCAGTCGTTCTTTCTAAAGGCCATGAATAATTTAATGCAACCGAACATGACAAATGACATCATTCTTTCTGCTACTTCAAGTAATGGTTTTGTGCACTGCGGGGGGGGGGGGAAGTTCTATATCCCCAGTTCTACTGGGCCCACTGACGAAATTCGAATTGCGTTTTTCATGTTTTGAAAGCGCGATTTCGGATATGTATTAGATTTATATATAGCATTGTTCTAATATAGATATTTTGACACAAAATCGGACTTTTTCTGAAATGAAATGCCAGTTTTTTTCCATATTTCAATTCTACAACTCAAATTACGCCAAACTACCAAGTTTTGTACAAATCGCACGAGTAGTTTTTGAAAAATTAGCTCTCAAAATTTTAGCTCCTCAATGTTAATTGAGTTTGGTATATGTTTATTAATCTCTCTTTTCTTATTAAACTTATTTGATTCTTCCTTTCACATTTCCAAATTCAGGTTTATTTCAAATAAAATTCACCCATTTTTATGATTTATTTTTAAAATTTGTATTTTTAAATAGTTTTTACAAATTTTAAAAAAAGAATTTGAATTATAATCTATAAAATTTTTGCCATAATCATAAAGAAGACGTATTTCTAAGCACACCTGCAAAAAGTTAGTTTTTTATTCAAAATTTCCAAATATATACGTGACTTTATATATTGGCGCGTTTTGAAATTTGGCATATTTGTTGAAAGCGATAAAACGTCAAATGTGGTTTAGACACTTTGGTTAAAATTATTTCAAAGTAGGAACGATGTGACTTTTTTTTCCCGCTCATGCACAATGTAAAAAGGTAAAAACGAGGTGTCTTTTTTTTCCGCTGCGGCATAATGGAAGGGAAAGGAAAATAGGTTGCCATATATTAAGAAGTTAGCCAAGTGAATTATTCTTGGTACATACTAAAAAAAATTGCGCCAAGATAAAGTTTTGAATTTCTCCGTAAATTTCGCTCCAAATTTTACAAAATTTAATATCTAGGCATCATGTGAGTTACAGAATCGAAATATGAAAAAACATTGGTATGTTATTTCAGAAAAAGTCCGATTTTGTGTCAAAATACCTATGTTAGAACAATGCAATACATAAATCTAATATATATCCTAAGTCGCGCTTTCGAGACATAAAAAAATGCATTTTGAATTTTGTTAATCGGCCCAGTAGAATGAGAGATATAGAACTGTCCCCCCTCCTTTTTTTTGCGCAATGTACCCACCTACGGCGCAAAATCAATCTGAAAGGTTAAGAGTTAGACTTCATTTAAGCGCTGGTATATTCATATTTTTCTTAACATAGTTTTTAAAGAATAATGTCGTCTGTAGACAAACAGTCCATTTACAGATACAAAAAGCATTCCAAATGGAAAAGTTTGTCTTATTTTTCAGCCATTCCAAACAAAGCAAACCAACATACCTAATGATAGCAATCAGTACAGATGGAACAAAACAGCAATAAAAAGAATCAATGGCTAAGAGAGGTGTCGAATCAAATTTTGAATCCAACCTATGGTATCAGTAACACTAACTAGCATCCTTCGGGAACTTATTCTTGAAGGTAATCTCCCACATGGTCTAATTATTATCACGAGATATAATTTGTTACATTTAGCTTTTCGGAACTTTACTTCCGTCAATGCAAACTTATACAAGCTGATTTATGAGGCAATTCTCATACCGTTAACTAAATTCATACTGAACAGTTCTCAACAAATACAGTACATTTTTTGAAGGTGTTAACAAAGCGACTCATTACAGAACAACAGATTCGTCAAATTTGCATTTCAAGAAAAAGACATGAATGCGTAATGAATTTAAATAAATAAAGATGGATCTTAGTGCGTACAGAGAGAAAACGCTTACATGAAAGAATTCTCTCTTTCCAAATTATCAAAGTATAATTTGTTTATTAAATTACCAAAACAAGTAAATATAAGTTTATAACGAATACGTTTTTTCTAATATGGAACGTCTCAGACCATCTTAAAAGAAAATCAATATTTCATTACACATTCATATCTTGACCTATCCAATACTTGTACTTAATAAATGCTGTTATAAGAAAGAAACACCAATCGTTAGTCAACCAAAGGGGAACTCATCTATGTGTAACTTGTTATTATAACTTACAGTTTCAAGGAAATCAGCATTATTTTCATATTTTCTATATGATTCCTTTACAAGTGTCCCAAATTTTCCATTTTTTTTAACTCTTCTATCAAAATCACAGTTTTCAACGGACCTTTTCCTTTTCTGCGACTTTAAATTAGTATTTAGCACTATAACAGTACTTCCCTTTTCGTCACACTCTTCTGGATTTAAAACCTGCGAAGCACTGTGATGCAAAATGGCCTCCATGGTAATATGCTTATTGTCCGATTCCACATTTGTTTGTTTTGTCTGGCTTTTTGGAGTACTTTTCTTTCCTTTTGTACTTTTTCCTACCCGTTTCCTGCTTCTCTTCTTATTCGGACTTTTCTTCTGACTACGCAGCACCATTTTGCACCTTTCCGCAGTTCTTTTCGATAACACATTTTTACTATCTAGATCAGTTTGAGTTTCTGGCAATTTTTCTGCAGCGATGTCTGAAACATTTTTTCCTTCCCCATCACTTACTATATTTTCCTTTTCATTATGCTTTGCAATATTGCTATTTGTCCAGTCTGAACCTGAAGACTTATCGGGTGAGAGATTTTTAGAAGTAAGAATGCGTAGTACTTCGCGCGGATCCACCGATTTTACGTCTTGCGAATGACTTTTTTTTGAAGAACAGTCATCATCGTCTTCAGAAATATCTTCGTATTGGAACACCGGTACTGCAGTTTCATCCGTCTCCCCGGAAATATTACTGTCCACCGGGATACCGCTGTTTAAGTTGACCACAGGTTCATTAATTTGAACGGTATTAATTTCCAGACCCTGTCTTAGAGTCTTCATTCTCCATCTTGCCTTCACTTGAATCATTATCTACATTCTCTTTCATCCCATTTCCTTCTTCAGCTTCACTGTTTTTCAAACTTTCTCCAAGCGTATCAGAAGGATCACCTTCCTCAGAAACATCAGATAAGTTATCTAAGACCACTAAGATCTCGTGTGCTTGTTCATTATTAGATGTATCTATGATTGGCATTGAATAAGGCTGGGAAATATTTGAAATTCTACCTTCGTCATTGTCCTGCGGAGTGTTATAGTAATCTTTAGTGCAGTGATTTTCAACCAAGACTTCTACTCTTTTATTTTTAAGAAGATATTCATCAAGTTTATTTTGTTTCCTTTCGTCAAGCATAGGATACTTCTTATCGTCAAATGCCTCACAGTCATCGTCAGAAATGTCAGAGGTGTCCATTAAATGAACAGAAGCCTCCAATCTTTGTTGATTAGAGCTTTCTTCATCACCGCTATCGGTAACTGATAAGGAATCATCTCGTTCATCGTGATAAATTTTACTCTGACATATAATACCTCCATTTTCTAAGATGGATTCTTTGTTCTTGTTCTCCAAACAAATATGTTCTTCATTCTCAGCAGCTTTTCTTGCTATATGTGCGGGAATATATTGTTCATTAATTTCCTTTTCATTACAATCGTCATATAAATCAATTGATTTTTGTATTTGTTGAGAATTGTTATCTAAATGCATCAAGTGTTTTTCCTGATGCTGAATGTACCTTTCCTCACTCAAAACATCCCATCTTCCATCAGCTAAAGTTACAAGAGGTATTGAATTGTCTTTGTTATCTTGTAAAGTCTTGTTTTGTTCTAAGACTTGGCTTTTCTTTTCGACGATTGCATTACTTCTTTTTTCCAAATGAAAGTATTCATCACATTCAGCCTGTTTTCCTGTATACTCAAGAGGTTTAATTAGTTCCTTTGTTTTTTCTTGATTATAAGGATTGCTAATACCAATTGATTCCTCATCTTGTTGAGAGTCCCTGCATTGATTATTTTCAACCAATGCATCATCTTCCTCGTCAGTTACATCTATAACTGATGTTGAATCTCCTTGTTCGTCTTCTGAAGTCGTATCTTCTACTGTGAATACGTTTCTTTCAGTGTATTCAATCGTTCTGGTCTCCGAACGGAAATGTTCCTCAAATTTAGCTTGTTTTCTAGCATCAGGCAAAGAAATAATTACATCTCTAACAATCTGCTTTTCACAGTTATCCTCTAAATCAACCGATTTTAGTTTTTGTTCAAAATCTGTGCATTCATCATTATCTTGAAATGTTTCATTGACATCATCATTTTGAGAAGAGCTGTCGGTATCCATCTTGCGCTTATGCATTTCCTCATTACAATTTTCCTGGCTTGAAACATCACTACTTTCGATAGTTTCTTCTGTTATTGAATACTGCTGTTCGAATGGTAAAGTCTTGTTTTTAGCTATTTCGGGGCTGTTTTCTTTAATACCTTCATCATTTTTAACTTCCAAACAAGGTTGTTCTTGAAATTCGGTTTGTTTTTGTGTACCATACTCGGGTAAAATTAATTCATTGACCTCCTCTTTATTACAATCATTATTTAAAGCAATTGTTCCTTGTTCTAGGTCAATCTCCATACACTGTTCACTGTGAGGAAATGTTTCCTTTTTTTCGTCATTCAGAGAAGAGTTCATCGTGTGCTCTTGCAGTTCCTGAACACATGTTTGTTGACTTAAAGCACCTCCATGTTCATTAGATAGATCTACAACTCGTACTGAATTTTCTTTTTCCTCTAATGATGCTTTGTTTTCATCTATTGAGAGCCCACTTTCTTCCATTATTTCATCATGTTTATTTTTCAAAGAAAAATGTTCATCAGACACAGCCTGTTTTTTATCGTCGTTTGCAGGCAAAACTAGACTCTCAACTCCTTGATTAGAATTATTATCTAAATCAAATGATTCTTGTTTCTGTTGCGGTTTCGTACATTGATTCTCATTAACAAATGTATCGCTGGCATCATTCTCAGACGAGCTATAGAAATCTAGAGAGTTCTCTTCTTGCTCAACGCAAGTTTTGTGATTTAAAACATCACATTGTTTCCAAGTTCCAACTGCAGCTGGTACTGAATCAGCTTGGTCCTCTTGCGAAATTTTATTCTGGCCTATAACGGGACTTTTTTCTTCTGGCACGCTATTATTTCTGTTTCCCGAAGAAAAGTGTTTGTCAAATTCATCATGTATGGGGCTAGTTAACTCTTTAATGTCATCCATATTACAATCACTGCTTAAATATTCTTCTTGAGGATATATACGCTGATCTGTCTGGCTCGAAACACTAATTTCATCTATAATTATATTGTTATCATTATTTATTATGAGGACACCGTCTTCTATAATTTCATCATTTATATCCTCTAAAGTAAAATACTCAAGAAATTTAGATTGTTTTCTAATATCATATATAGGAATAAATAGCTCCTTAATTTCCTCATTATCACAATAAGCTAAGTCAGTAGATTCTTGTCCTTGTTGAGACTCTACACATTGACCACTATTAAGAAATATTTCGTCGACATCTTCATTCTTATCGAAATCTAGTTGGCAATGTTGCTGTGGCTGAACACATCTCTCCTCCCTTAAAACATCATGCTTTTCGCCAGCTGTATTTACAACTGAAACTGAGTCCCCTTCTTCATTTTGTAAAGTCTTATTTTCATCTACTGTGCTATCATTTTCGTTATTCTGTTCATTATTACTATTGTTTAAGCTGCCATCCAACTCATCATTTTGTCTTGTATCATTCGCAGTGCTGTTTAATTCTTTATCTTTTTGTTTGCTATAACCATTATTTAAATCAATAGATTTTTGCTTTTCTTGAAGTTCTATAGACTGATCAATATCAACAAATGTCTCGTCGGCATTATCATTCTTAGATGAGTTAGCACAGTCTATAGTATGGTCCTTTTGTTTCAGAACCCATTTTTTCTGGCTAAAATCTTCATCTTCTTCGTCAAGTTCATTTGGCATTGAAACTAAATCCTCTTGCTCATCTTTTGAAAGCTTATTTTTATCTACAACGGGGATATTGCATTCAATGTCATCATTATTTCTATTCTCCAAATAGAAATGTTCTTCAAATTCAGTCTGTGCCTTTTCTTCATAGATTGATTTCTCTTTATCACAAACATTACCTAACGCGACCAAATCTTTTATTTGCTGAGACTCCATGAGCTGATCATGATCAATAAATATCTCATCGACATCATCAGTCTCAGAGGAATCATCTAAATGCACGGAATATAGCTCCTGCTGCTGCTGAACATGCTTCTCGTGATTCAAAACATCACTTTTGTCGTTAGTTACCTCTGTAGCAAGTACTGAATGCTCGTGATCTTCTTGTGAAGACTCAGTTTGATCTATAACACGGTACGTTTCTTCTGTGCCTTCATTACTTCTGTTATCCAAACATAAATCTTTGTCAAATCCATCATGTTCTGTTTGAACACGTAACGGAGTAAATTTTTCTTTCGTCTTGTCTTCAACGTAGTCATTATCACTTACTTTCGCGTCCTCCTCTTCTTTATTATGCTTATTATATAAATTAACTGACTTTTGCTTCTGTTGAGGTTCTGTATATTCGCTTTGACTCACGTCACCATCACCAAAATGTACTTCATCGCCTTCAACAGAATTTTCACAGATTTTTTCGAAATCAGTTAAGGAGCATTGTTCCAACTGAATACAATTTTTCTGACGTAAAGTATTGCTTTCTGTACTAGTTGCACCGATAGTTGACCCTGAATTGCAGAACTCATTCCGCAGCGTATTATTCTGATCTATAACAGAGGCATAAATGATATGATCCCGTTTTCTTTTGTTTTCTGTTTCATAGCGATTATTTAAATTAAATGGTTTATCCTGTTTCTCTGGCTCTGAAGTTTCGTAGATTTTATCAACCTCAATCGAGGAGTCTTGCGTGTCTCGAACACATGTCTTCTGACTCAAAGTATCACTTTCTGTATCAGTTCCACCTGGAATTGACAGTTTATTACGATCTTCTTTTCGTAACGTTTTATTCTGATCCGTAATAGTGCTGTGTTCTATTATGCTGTCATCTTTTTGTTTCATACAGTAAATGAATCGATCCTGACTCAGATAACTAGTATCTTCAAATATCTTACTGACATTCCCACAATTCTTACAGATTTTATCATCAAAGTGCGTTGATTTTTCTCGTTCTTGTGGAAAATATCGTTTCTGATTGAAAATGCTACTCTCATAACTCACTTTACTATATTTTTCATACATTTCTGATAAATTGAAATTCATTCGTTTTCTTTTCATGGGATTTTCAGATACATTCTGGAACAAAACAGATGTTTCTTTTGGAGCTTCCAGAGGATAAAGATAGGATTTCAACTGCTTCTCACTCAAGCGCTCAAGAACAACTTTACATTTTCTGAAACTTTCCTTAATTTTTTTGAGATCAGTATCTAATCGGAATGTCTGAGATAGTTCTGTACGCAAATATGAAATATTTGGATTATATTTTTCTGATTCTGTTTTGGACATGTGACTATAATGCACTTTAAACCCATTCTGTCTAGAATTTAGGATACACTGATCTGGTTTTTGCAAATTTTTAACAAAAGGTAAATATGTCTTTATTTTATATGGCTGGTGAGATAGTTGTATAGATGGTAGATATTCAGAAGAATTTTTAAATGTCCTTGCAGTAGCTGGCGAACATGAACCTGTATACGAACCTGTTTTTATGGCAACTTTTATTGCTCTAGGAAGATCAGTGATGCCGTATTCTGCAGCCACAAATTTTGTAAGAGGTACGAGGCATACACAACAGTCTTTAATTTTATACTTCTTAAATTCTTTAGGGGCACTAACGGCGAATTTTTTCTTTTCAGAAAATGAATTTTGAGTCCTTTTGTACTTATTATTTGGTGGCATCTTTGGTATGCATGTATCCAAAGAAAATGAGATAGATATTGAGAGTATTATGATACCTCTTTTATGATCCTTTTTTCTTTCAAACTGACCTGAAAAACATTTTATATGTTAAGGAAATGTACATTTTTGCATAAAAATCTTTTAAATAAAAAAGAAAGTTTAATTTCAATTCTGTTGTACAGATTTTAGTTAATGGATGTACCAAAGTATCTCTGTGAACTTAAAAAAGGTGTCTAGCTTCAAAAATCATAAAATGAGCTCCAAATCCTAGGCCTCGTCTCAGGAAAAGTTTTATATTACGTAAGCGAAGATTAGGGAAGACCGAAGATATTCTAGTACTCACTCGTTACCTGATTCCCGATTGAAAAATAACCGAAAATCAGTTAGTAGAGTTTTAGAATCTGATAAACAATAAATACTATTACAATACTCTGAAAAAATTAATCAAGGTGTAAGGATTGTGTTAATTTTATTAGCAGTTAAATTTTAAGTTAAAGTTCCTTTCCTGTCAAAATTCTTAACTTCAACTTACTACTTCCGCCCAGAACGTAGTTTTGGAATCTTGCTGAATATTTAATGAGGAGGAGCGGTATTTAAACCACGAAGTTACTTACTGAGTCAGAGAGAATCAGAGTTTCTGATTTACGTGCGTCTGCCATTTTGGCCACTCTCTCTCTCTCTCTCTGTCAAAGCTGTTACTACGCTCGGCCGTACTCAGGCCCTTGCTAAGCTTCGTAGTCAAACAAGTTAAGGGGCCAACTCGATTTGAACCTTGATAGCTTCGGCTATATTTCTTTAGTTAATCTTAGTTTTAGTTTAATTCTTAGTCTTTTAAGTTCAAAGCCGAAGTGCGGGCTTTGTTTGTACACTCCCAGGCGGAGTTTTGTTAAATCTTATTGCAATAATAAAGGGTTAGTTACCCTTCTATCTTGTTGTTTCTTGTCACCGAACTTAAGCGATTATTCGCTTATTAGTTCTTAGATTCTTCACTTCCAACATTAACTTAGAATTACTGAGGAACTCCACAAAGGGAAAAATTAATTAAACGTAATCATTTTCACTGACAAAAAATTGAGTGAGACGCAAGAAAAACATGCTATTATTAGAAAGAAGCTTTTTCTGTTATCTTTTCTCCGAAAAAAATCTGAAACTTATAATGTATAGTCTGGCATATAACGCGTACCTATAATTTCAAACTACATTTTTTAATATTTAGGTATATTCGCAGTACAACGCGCACCCTTTTCTTTATGAAGAAACCTGATTTGAAACCATTTATTCGGAATTTTTTCTCAGGCTTTCGAGCAATGTTATGCTGGGCTGAGAAGCGATAAGGAGAACAATAATACGTGTATATGTATATATATGTATATATATATATATATACTTGAGGGAGTAAATAATTCTGAAAGAGGGTGGTTGCATTCACTGCAGATACGCACAAGAATGTTATTTTAAGGTTTATAAAATGGGGGGGGGCATAATTTGGGGTAAAAATACAATTCCGGCCCAAATGAATTAGGATCGGAAATGGAATCTGATCCCTAATTCAAGGAATTGCGGATCGGATGTTTTCTCTTTCTGTGCCTTTGATTTTCAAATGAACATCGAAGCTTCAGTAAGCTTTAACCGAAGCTTTAATTGAAATACAGTTGGCATAATGTTACTTTTAGTAATAAAAAGGACTACTGCCAAACTAAACAAACACAGCGCTGGTTTCAAATGCAAAATCAATTACCGGACTCAGTGCTTAAATTGCGCCGGAGCCCTAAATAAGATGAGCTCCGGTACTTCTTTTTATAAAATGAACCACAATTTAAAGAGGAAAAAATAGAATTTTTAACGTTTTAGTTTAACAACAAGCAAACCTTGCAATACTTTTTTTCCCTAGAAATACCATGGAGGTAGGAAAGGGAGGAGGGGCCATTCCGCGCTAGAAGTGAAGCACTGCTTTGAAGCTTGGATCACCAGACGGGGTGTTCTTTGTTTACATTCAGAAGCTCGCTTGGACAAGATTCTGATAGTATTTCGACACACGACAGTTCCATAGAAATCGAAAAGGGACACTCTCGCATGAAAGAAACATTCATAGTGTGATGGATAATAGCAATTTGTATAGTTTTACTGACATTTACGCAAAAATCACATCTTGGTTATTTTTTCGATAACTAACAACAGCGATTTTGATTATAATTTGTTTTATAAAATTCTAAGCTGTTGCACTACAAAAATATAGATTTTAAGAAATTGCCTAAAAGAGATCTGCCAAAATTTATTTTCTAGAAGATTTGAAAGTTTGAAACTTGATGGCTAAATGTAAATATAAAATTATTATGTTAAAATATTTGTAATTAGGCACATAGGTCAGATTAAGTTTTCATTAAATAGAGTAACGCATGCAAGGGCTATCTGCCTAAAGAGAGAGATGCCATCGTGGAGGAATTTTGAAGAAAAACTGACCTTTGAGTGGGTATTAAAAATAATACTTATAATTTTCATTCAAATTATATTCATATATATTTTTTATGTAAAACTTTCGGGTGTATGCTAAATTAGTGTAAATTACTTTACACGAAAAATATAGTGAATGCACAGAAATTAAAGATTTGCACATGCCGGAAATGATAAATAGAAATATGTATGGGTATTTATGCATGTGCTTGCAAAAAGCATGTATCTGCCTTTGACAAAATACTTAAATATTCATTAAATTATTTATAAATGTATTTGAAATGAAGAATTTATTCACTTATAAGACACTGTGAAAGTACTGTGAAGAAATCTAATGATTAAATGTATCTAATTTATAATGATTATAAATGTTATCTAAATATACAATAACCTTAATATTGAATTGTAAGCATAAATTGAAATCCTGTTGACAAATACGTTATAAAACTATTTAAGCAAGAATTGTTCGTATTGGAAAGCAATCTGTTAAAAGGTATTGTAAAGCAAATGCTATGAGATGCGCACTTAAGAACGTAATAAAGAGTTTTGGAATAGTATTGTTGAAATGAAAGGTAAAAAAAAAAAAAAAAATCTGATAAGTATAATTAAAAGAATTATTCCCTTTACATTTTATAATAACTCAGTTACAAGTTTTAAATAATACTTGAAAAAAAAAACTTATTTTATTCCCTTTCAGAAATGTTCAGAGAAAATTAAATACTATTTAATACCTATTTAATTATTAGGAATTAGCGAAATACTTATTTAAAGTATTTCGCTAATTCCTAATAATTCTCTAATTTAAAATGAACCGAATAGAGCATTAATTATAAATTGACTTACATTTTTCGATTTAAAAGAAGCCAAAAAATCATGTCATATTTAAGAAAGTATTTTAGGAAGAAGCTCTATAATTAGAAAAGAAATAATGCATAATTTTAATATTAATAATACAATAAACTTTGATCTTAATTTTGTACCTTAACCGAATAAAATCGAATTACCTTAATTTTTTTTCTAATGTAATTAACGAAAACTTGTGAAAATATTTCATTCAAATTAAACCATTCTGAGAAAAACTGTCCTGTGAAAAGTATAGCATTTAATTCCGTTCAGAATGAAATGTTGTTTAAAAATATGTTGTTTTCACATACTTAGGACTCTGAAGTGTTGCAGAAAAAGAAAATATATACATTTATATGTATATTTACGACGTAATTACAAAATATTTACATCCGAACGCGTCAAATCCCATTGAACTCAATGGTAAATGACCCAATGTTTTGGTCACAACGTAGGGATCGCCGGTGCTTCAGAGCAGGGTACGGGAGAAACTTGTTTAGGGCAACTCCATCTTACTTCCTACCTCCATGAGAAATAGGAACTCATGAGAACATGAGAAGTTCAAGTTAAAGTCCCCTCACTCACATGCGGAAACCTTTCCCTTTCAAAAGGGCAATAAATTTGGGGGGGGAGTTTGTTTAGGAACGCGTAAATTTCTCGCCATGCCATCATAGCTACTGTATTTGTTATCCATGCTTACAGTTAGTTGTTCTCGTTGGAAGGAAAATTTGTGTTCTTAAATGTGCGTTAAGTGACAGCGAGTACAATAAGAGTGAAATACTGAGAGAAACTGCTCATGCACGTCCTATACATCGTCTTCCCACAGTATCCACTAATGGGGGGCTTATTAAATCGGTTATTAAATTTCAATTTATCTCTTTACATTTTATTTAATATTAATTATTTAATTACTTCAATCTTTAATTATTTCAATATATAATAATTAATTTCTAATAATTATCAATTAAATTATAATTAATTAACTGTCTAATAATTATTAATATTAAATTATAATTAATTATATAGTAATTATTGATTAAATAACAATTTATAAACATTACTTAAATAGCTATTAATTAACTATTTAATTTAAAAATTATTAATGAGTTAAATAGTCATTTTATTTATTTATTTACTCTTGTTTCTCTTTGCTTACGGTCTTCCATAGGGCTCCGGCACTTCTAATCTTAGAAATTAAGCCCTGACCGGACTACATTTCTTGAAAGGGCGCATCGGATGAAGATGAAGGAAAACAGGTGATGACGCGCCTCGAGGAGAGAAGAAGCAGACAAGTTGACTGACACTCTGGACTT